CACACTACACCACTGACTAGTTGGTACTTACTTGGACTCAACACCATCACAGACATCATGTAGAAGAACRTAGTATCTAAATATACCAGTACTAAACCACTTGAGTTGACTATTAGGGGATGTTTGTTGCTGGTCAAGATGTTGTGATGTCATTGTTGCAAATGCATTCATTGGATCACCATGATGAGATGATACAACAAAAACACCTTTATGTTAAGTCAAGGACAGCATTGATTATTGTAGAAAAATACACATAGAACATACTATGTACAAGCGACTGTTGAAAAAACCTAAGCATAAGAGAATACAGTAACACAATATAATGACAGTATAAAAAAAATTAAATTAACTGAACTAAATTAAGCAAAGAAAAGGAATATTGATATAATAATAAGTAAAATGAAGTAAGATGAAAAGAATTTAAAATGAAATAAAATAAAATAATGCAAACAAGTCATGCCAGAAAMGGATACAAGCCAAAAAATGCCTGATGAATTCATGATCCGATGGCTTGAGCAACTGAAAGAAGCAATCCCTGTAGGCTTCAAACCATGGAGTGGATGCTAAAATACAATAATAACCTGTTGGTTATTGACTGGTTATTTAATCATGAGTATGTTAATGTATTAGACTGCAATAAAAATGCCATATACAACCAATTGATGAAGCTTTGCACTACAAAATAGTCACAGCCACATAACTATTAAGAAAAAACATTTCTTTTTKTCATACTTTGAATAGTGTATAACTTAGTCTCATAAAATTCTATCAAGAAGTATTCACTGTTCAAAGAAACCTATAAGCGACATGAAATGGTTAGAGCCGTGCCATCCATTGGAATACTCAAATCTAATTTGCATCTCATTTCCTTATTTGGAACATTTCAATTTACCCTAGCCAACCAGAATGGGCCTTAAATCTCTTATCCAATGGCTGAACTTTCAAAATATGGTCAAAACGTTCGTTTTTCAAATTTTCCTATGCTTGTGATTTTGAGGTTAGGGTTAGGGTTAGGTTCAAATTTTCCTATG